TGAGCAGGGAGCCCGATGTGGGGCTCGATCCCAGGACCCTGGGATCATGACCTGAGCCGAAGGCAGACGCTTAACAACTGAGCCACCCAGGCGTCCCTGGAATGATATTCCTGTCATAGTCATAATCCCACCTATACTTTTATCCCATGTCAGATTCCACATTCTTCTTGAAACCATAGGGAGGCGGATTTTCTCCCTTCCTAAAACTACTCCAGCACTTTGCTTATATCTCTACTGACATTTATGATATTCTGCCATATGTTTTGAAAGCAGTTATTGTATCTATATTCTCTTTCCCTTATGAGTCTAGTATGTGTCTTGAGTCTGTGAGGTGCCTAATTAAATATTTGTGGAGTTAAGGATGTGCCCTGTGCAAGATAGACACTGGGCAGAAATATACAGGAAAAAACTCGTAGTATTTGAAATTTTGTTAAAATTAGATCATTTTACACTTAATTGGGAAATAACAAAAGTAATGAGCAATTCTTTCCACAGATGTGTAAAATGCAGCTTAAAAAAACACTCTCACATGCAAGGTCAGGCCGATAACTGATTATACCCAGCCAGTTGCCTCATTGTATGGGAACCAGTTAAGGTATTAGCATTGGTCAAAATGTATTGAACAGTATACTTAAATATATTTTATTATATGTAAAATATACTTTAATAAAATAAGGTGTAAGGAGGGGAGAATTATACCCTAATTCTAGTTAGGAATGATGGAAACCCAGTAAGTGAAAACTGAGGATGGTTTGCACATAATTTGTTCTGTACTCTATGTAATGAAGTATCTGTGATTTGCTGATGCTCTTATGGTAGAATCAGTCAGAACTCCTAAGTTTACTGAATTATAGATTCTCCTGCCTGGAATGCACATGAATGAGCACACTTACATGTGCACCCTCATTTGTTTGTGGAACCGTCTCTCCCCTCCCTCCCATGACTCCAAAGGATCGAAGCGATTTTTTAAAATGATTGAAAAAGAAACAGATCTGCTTCTGTTCTCCCAGAAACATGGTGGTGGCTTTGAAGGAGCTATCTATTCGGGGTGACTTTCGAACTACAGTTGAATACCTCATCAAATTGTTGGAGACTGAAAGCTTTCAGTTGAATAGAATTGACACTGGCTGGCTGGACAGACTGATAGCAGAGAAAGTACAGGTGTGTATTTCCCCACTTGCCAAACAGCTTTGGGGATTGGGTTTTTACAGGGTTGTGGTGTGATCAGTCCATGTCACTAGAGAAAATGTATTTGATTCTAATGTAAATGATGCTTGATCTACTTGGAAAAAATCTAGGAGTCAGTGTAATTTTAGCACCGTAGAGTCCTTGTGCCTGTGTTACCTGGTCATTTTATGGGTTCTCGTATTACTTCCTGTAGTGTATTTGAAGAGAGGCATCCAGGGATTGAAATACTTCTGTCCTCATTTGATGTTAAGTCAGCTTCAGAGTTACCAACTTTTACATCCGTCTACCAAGTGCTGATGAGAGGGGTCTCATTTAAATCAGCAGTTACCCCTTGTTTCTGAATCACTGAGCTATTCTAAATAAAATTTTGTATAAAATCATTAGACTCATCTAAATTATCTGAAGGTCCAAATTTTGATTATATACCATTTTTCTTTGAGATTAACAGTAGCCAGATCCTTACACCTTTTTGATTTTGTTTATGACAAAATCTTGTTTTTGAACTCCTCTTTGATGGGTTCAGTGGAAATCTTAGGGAGAGTAGAGAGAAAGGTATTTTTCATCTCAATTCAAATGAAGCCTTTATTCAAATTCTTTTTTTTTTTTTTTTAAAGATTTATTCAGGGGCGCCTGGGTGGCTCAATCGTTAAGCGTCTGCCTTCGGCTCAGGTCATGATGCCAGGGTCCTGGGATCCAGCCCCGCATTGGGCTCCCTGCTCAGTGGGGAGCCTGCTTTTCTCTCTTCTGCTCTCCTGCTTCTGTTCCCTCTCTCACTGTCTCTTTCTCTCTCTGTCCAATAAATAAATAAAATCTTAATTTAAAAAAAGATTTTAGAGAGAGAGAGCACAAGTGGGAGGGGCAGGGAGATGGAGAAAGAATCTCAAGTGGACTCCAGACTGAGCACGGAGCCCAATGTGGGGCTCAATCTCATGACCCTGAGATCATGACCTGAGCTAAAAGGAAGAGTCGGACACTTAACCGACTCTGCCACTCAGGCACCCTTGCCTCTATTCAAGTTCTAAAAATAAATATGTTTTTACCTCAAATATCAGTTGAATAATAAGGATGGAGGTTCTCAATGCTAGCTGTTTCTTCAGAGCATATGTGTACCTGATTTAAATTGAGGAGCCATGGTGCTAAGTGACCATGCTTTTGATCTGCCTTCTTTTTCTTTCTTTTAGGCAGAGCGACCTGACACCATGTTGGGAGTTGTATGTGGGGCTCTCCACGTGGCAGATGTCAGCCTACGGAATAGCATCTCTAACTTCCTTCACTCCTTAGAAAGGTAGGCTTTGTTTGTTATAGGCACGTTAACCAGTAGTCCTGGTTTGAAGATCCATTTATTCTTCTCTCTATTCCTGGCAGTTTGTGAGTGCTACATGTTATTCAATGATCATGGAGGTGGGGGAGAGAAAAGATGTGGGAGGTTTTTTTTTTTTTAAGATTTATTTATTTATTTGAGAGAGAGCAAGCAGGGTGTGGAGATCAGAGGGAGGGAGAGAATCTCAAGCAGACTCCTGCTAAGTGCAGAGCCCATCTTAGGGCTCGATCTCACAACCCTGCGATCATGACCTGAGCCTAAACCAAGAGTTGGACACTCAACTGACTGAGCCATCCAGGTGCCCCAGAATGGGTTGCTTTTTAAAAACGAATCCGGCCGAAATAAGCATTCTCTCCTGTACAAGCATGAAATCTCTCCAACTCCCCCCCCCGCCCAGTGATGAAAATCTGGTGTTTCTCTCTAGAATCAAACCCTGAATATTTCATATATTGCCTGCAACACCTTTCAGAAATTCATAATTGAGGCTGATATTCAGGATGACCTCATGAGTCTAGCAAATAGAGGATCAGACTATATGGGGCTAAACTAATTTCTAACTCTGGTTCTAGAGACTAAGCTCTGTCTTTGAGTCCCTGGAGGAATGGTCCGAGGGACTAATCATTTTAAAGCACTTTAATCACAGGCACTTTATTTCCTTCTGTGTTGTTAGACTGATACAAGCTTTCTTTTAAGGTGTCTGAAAGGAAGAAACAAAGTTTTAAAAATTGAACTGAGATTGCACAGTTATTCAAGTCTTACGATAAATATCTTTCATTGTGTTGCTTTCATGCACTAAAACCTTCAGCAGCTCACATTACCCTTGTGCATTAAATCTAAATCCCTCAATGTGTGACTTTCAACTCCCTATATACTTTGGCCCCTTTTTACCAGTCCAGTTTCACTTATATCTGTTCCTTACCATGCAATCTCTAATCTAGTTAAATGGCTTTCCTACTAGTGTACAAATGTGTCACACATAATCTCCTCTGCAAACTTCCCTCCACCTTTTTAATGTTAATTAAAAATAATGTTATTATTTTTATTGACTGATTGATTAAAGATTTTATTTATTTATTTGACAGAGAGAGAGAGAGCACACAAGCCAGGGGGAGAGGGAGAGGGAGAGGGAGAAGAAGGCTTCCTGCTGAGCAGGGAGCCCGATGCAGAGCTCGATCCCAGGACCCTGGGATCATGACCTGAGCCGAAGGCAGATGCTTAATCAACTGAGCCACCCAGGCGCCTCTATTTTTAAAACATGTATTTTGAAATAATTTGATTTAAAGAAGAGTGGCATCAACAGTACAAACAACTTCTATATATTCTTCGCCCAGATTGACCGGTTATTAACATCTTGCCTCACTTGCTTTATCACTTACTCCCTCTTTCTCTCGTCAAAAGTCTTTCTTGATAATGTTTCCCTCCTTGGCAATGTCCTTCCCTTTCCCTTCAACCCAGCCACGGCCTATTACCTTTTTTTTTTTTCTTTTACTACCCCAAATGAAGTCCCAGTTGATAGCAGTAGATGGGGGTTGATTTTACTGGGGCATTTCTCTTTTTTTTAAGTTTTAATTTTATTTATTTTTAATAACGAGTAATATATTCACATTGTTCCAATTTCAAAATGCACAAAAAGGTAGATAGTGAAAAGTTTCCTTCTTTGACCACCTAGTTTTTTTCCCTGTAGTCAATCCATGTTACTAGTTTCTTCTGTAACCTTCCAGACATATTGTAAATTTATATAAGCATATACACGTAATATTTATTTCTTCCCACCCCTTATTTTTTAAAAACACAAATGGTAGCATACTCTGAAACTGTTCACAGTTTCACTTGCTTTTTTTCACTTAACAGTATGTTTTGGAGAGTAGTTTGTATTAGTACATAAAAGCCTCCATCTTTCTGGGCACCTGGCTGGCTCAGTCGGTAGAGAATGCAACTTTTGATCTCGGGGTCGTGAGTTCAAGCCCCACATTGGGTATAGAGATTATCAATAAGTAAACTAAAAAATAGATACATAAAAGCCTTCCTCTTTCTTTTTAATGACTCTATAATATTTCATTATAGGGCTTTTTCATAATTCATGTGTCAGTCCCTTACTGATGGTCCTTTAGGTTGTTTCCAGTCTTGATATTCTAAAAAGTGCTACCATTAATAACCTTTGAGATTTCCTTATAAACTTCTGGAACTTTCTGGAAGTAAATGTGACTCATGTTGTTGTTTCAGGGGTCAAGTCCTTCCTGCGCATACACTTCTGAATACAGTAGATGTTGAACTTATCTATGGGGGAGTCAAATATGTACTTAAGGTATGCTGAACCCCACTGAAGACTACACTGTACTTTTTGTCTTTCTTTGTTAGCTTGGTTTACTGCAGGGCAGGGTATTAGTGAAATTATAGTCATTATTTGTGTCCGTAGCCTGAAGCAGTTTTTGATGTTTCTATGAAAATGTTTTAGTGTTCTTTAATATGACATAGGCAGCCACGAGATAAAGGAGTCAGAGAACAACCAGGCTAGGGAAAAGCATCGAAGGTTGCCCTATGAGCTTGCAGCAGTAGTTAGCCCAGCCCACAGACACTGATGCTAAGAGCACCTTCTTCTCTGAGAGAGCTTTCTTTCCTATATTTTGGAAGTAATTATTTCTGGGGCCCCACCTGGTAAGGGACACACTGACTTGTCCCTTCTGGTTCTCACTCCCTGCAGGTGACTCGGCAGTCCCCCAACTCCTATGTGGTGATCATGAATGGTTCATGCGTAGAAGTAGATGTGCATCGGTTGAGCGACGGCGGGCTGCTCCTATCCTATGATGGCAGCAGTTACACCACCTACATGAAGGAGGAAGTGGATAGGTAAGGGGCTGTGTGAGGGCCACTTGCTGGTCATTGTGTCCGCTTCCCTCTCAGTAGTCAGCAGCTCTGCAGCTTTTTCAAGGTCTTTTTGGGTATTCTTTTTTAAATAAAAAGAATAATACATGTACTTAACAAAAATTTCAAAAGTACAAAAGTGTTTACAGTTAAAAACATTGTCTCTCTGCCACTCCAATGTGAGTAGACAATGAAAAATAGGTTCCTCTCTTTTTAAGCAACCACTGTTAACGGTTTATTTATTTTTGCAGGAATTTTATATGTATATACAATTTATATATATGTACATACTGTGTTTTTCTTGTGAATACATCCACAAATAAAAATAACCTTTAGATACTGTTCTGCACTTTATTTTTTTCCTTTAACATAGATTATAGACTGTTCAACACCAATCATTCAGTGTTGTTGTGACAGTGAAATGAATTAACACGTGTAAAGTGCTTAGAACATTGCCTGGGACATAGTAAGGGTTCAAGAAATGTTAGCTGTTATATCATCATCATCTTCATGTTTTTTTGTTTTTTTTTTTTTAAGTAGAGTTGTCTATTCTTTTTAATGGTCATATAGTGTTCCATTGTATGGATGTACTATAATTTATTTAATCTGACCCTTATTGAAGGAAGTTTTGGTTATTTGCATTGTCAACAAAGATGGAATGAGTGTTCTTTGTGTCTATGTGTATATAGATAAGGTTTCCAGTTCGGCGTGCACGCACATGTGTGCGTGGGTATGTGCGTTGTGTTTTTGTTTTGTTTAAGATTGACATCATTCTTCCGTTCTCTTTTACAACCTGAGGTGCTTTATTGGCTTACATACTCCTACTTATCTCCTAGATATCGCATCACAATCGGCAATAAGACCTGTGTGTTTGAGAAGGAAAATGACCCTTCAGTGTTGCGCTCACCTTCTGCTGGGAAGTTAATCCAGTACATTGTGGAGGATGGAGGCCATGTGTTTGCTGGCCAGTGCTATGCTGAGATTGAGGTCAGGGCATGGGAGGGAAGGTAGGAAAAGAGTCTGCTGGGATGGACTAGGACTGAAGAGTAACAAAAGAAATAGAAAATAGAAAGTAAAGAGCATTCGTTGGTTTTATTGGCTTATGAACACAATTTTAGAAACAAATAAGAAGGGGCGCCTGGGTGGCTCAGTTGGTTGAGTGTC